ATTGTTCCACGTCCTAGTCTCCAGGGCAGCAGAAAACAAGCTTGCTCCCTCCTCCCTGTGGCTTCCTCTCACATATTTATACATGGCTATCATATCCCCATCTCGGTCACTTCTATGTTATTTTCTTTTGACAACAACCAAATGCATAACTCATGAAGGGGGGGAAGAGGGATGAGGTGCACACTGTACTTTTGTTGATATTGCTAAGAGGCCAGGATGCACCCTAAAAATGGGACAAGTTTGAAAAGATAAATCTTAGGACCAATAAGAGATGAGTATTAGGTAAAGGTATTCCCCTTGACATTAAGTCCAGTTGTGTCTGACGCTGGGGGTTGGTGCTCATCTCCATTTCTAAGCCGAAGAGCCGGCGTTGTCCGTAGACACCTCCAAGGTCATGTGGCCGGCACAGAGCGCCATTACCGTTCCGCGGTACCTATTGATATACTCGCATTTACATGTTTTCAAACTGCTAGGTTGGCAAAAGCTGGGGCTAACAGCGGGAGCTCATGACGCTCCCCGGATTCGAACCTGCAACCTTTTGGTCAACAAGTTCAGCAGTTTAACCCACTGCACCACTGGGGCCTTCGAGTATTAGGTAAAGGTAAAGGTTTTCCCCTAACATTAAGTCCATTGTATCCAACTCTGAGGGTTGGTGCTTATCTCCATTTCTAAACCAAAGAGCTGGCGTTGTGCATAGATGCCTCCTAGGTCATGTGGCTGGCATGACTGCATGGAGTGCTGTTACCTTCCCACGGTATCTACTGATCTACTCACATTTGCTTGTTTTCAAACTGCTAGGTTGGCAGGAGCTGGGGTTAACAGCGGGAGCTCATGCCACTCCCTGGATTCGAACCTGCAACCTTTTGGTCAACAAGTTCAGCAGCTCAGTGGTTTAACCCGCTGCACCACTGGGGGCTCTGAGTATTAACAACTCACAAATGAAGCAGTTAACACCCTCTTTTATTTTGTATACAATCATCAGGCATAGCTAAAATGGTCAATGATCATAGACTCCTAGAGTTGGAAGAGACCCCCAGGGCCATGTAGTTGAAGTCCGTTTTGCCAGGCAGGAACACACTCAAAGCCACCCCGACAGATGGCCATCCAGCCTTGTCCTAAAAACCTCCAGAGGGGGTGGCTCCACTGTGCCAAGGCAGCATATTCCACAGTCAAACAGCTCTGTCAGCAAGTTCTTCCTAAAGTGTTAAGTGGAACTTCTTTTCCTGCAATTTGAATGTATTGCTCCACTAGATGTCCCCTGCCATGCATTGCTGTGGCCCGGTCTGCGTATATGTTTTGCATGTGTATATATTTGTGTATATGTGTATATATGTGTGCTTGCATCTATATATGTGGTTCTGCGCATGCGTTATGTATTTTTTTTATTTTTTGGCTTTTAAAGCCCCTTCCACTGTGTTTTCCAGTGTTTCTATGAGTGATGGTCACTCGTTGGCCTGATAGGTGTATTGTGTCCAAATTTGGTGTCAATTCACCCAGTGGTTTTCGAGTTATGTTAATCCCACAAACAAACATTACATTTTTATTTATATAGATTGTGTCCTACTCTCCAGAGCAGCAGAAAATAAGCGTGCTTCCTTGAAATGGCCCCCACCAAGTTGGTAACACAAGATTAAAGCATCTACAGAAATCCTCAAAGCAGGAAGCCTGCAAAGCATAGGCAGGGCGCAGAAATTCCTCTCCAGTTGTAAGAGGCCCTCTGGGAACACTGGAATCTCCAGGAAGCCTGGCATCCTCTGGCCGCTTGCCCTCAGCCTTGAAGTGGCCGGCCAGGTAGGCGAGGCTTTGTTTTCTTTTCCTCCACGACTAGGTCTCAAAGTCCTGCCAGGATGGGCTGAAGACACTTAGCAGAGACCCTTCTGTAGTGCAAGAACCGTGGGGACCATCTAATCCAAACCCCAGCCATACAGGAAAACACACCCCAAACATTCCTTAAGAGACAGCCATTCCACCTCTATTTAAAGACCTCAAAAGAGGGAGAGTCCATGACCCTTGGAGGCAGTCTAGTCCATCGCTGAACTGCCCTTGCAGCCAAAGTTCTTCCTAATCTTTAGGTGAAATCTATTTCCTTACCATTTGAATCCATTGGCTTGTGTTCTAGCTTCTGGAACTGCAGCAAACAAACCCGTTCCTTCTTCTACACAATGCCCCATCAGATGTTTAAATGCAGATATAATATATCTTAGTCTCTTCAAGATCACAGAATCAGAGAGTTGGAAGAGACCTCATGGGCCATCCAGTCCAACCTCCTGCCAAGAAGCAGGAGTATTGCATTCAAAGCACCCCTGACAGATAGCCATCCAGCCTCTGTTTAAAAGCTTCCAAAGAAGGAGCCTCCACCACACTCCGGGGCAGAGAGTTCCACTGCTGAACGGCTCTCACAGTCAGGAAGTTCTTCCTCATGTTCAGATGGAATCTCCTCTCTTGTAGTTTGAAGCCATTGTTCCGCGTCCTAGTCTCCAGGGCAGCAGAAAACAAGCTTGCTCCCTCCTCCCTGTGACTTCCTCTCACATATTTATACATGGCTATCATATCTCTTCTCAGCCTTCTCTTCTTCAGGCAAAACATGCCCAGCTCTTTAAGCTGCTCCTCATAGGGCTTGTTCTCCAGACCCGTGATCATTTTAGTCGCCCTGCTCTGGACACATTCCAGCTTGTCAACCTCTCCCTTCAATTGTGGTGCCCAGAATTGGACACAATATTCCAGGTGTGGTCTAACCAAGGCAGAATAGAGCATGGGTAGCATGACTTCCCTGGACCTAGACACTAGACTCCTACTGATGCAGGCCAAAATCTCATTGGCTTTTTTGCGGCCACATCACATTGTTGGCTCATGTTTAACTTGTTGTCCACGAGTACCCCAAGATCTTTTTCACACGCACTGCTCTCGAGCCAGGCATTGTCCCCCATTCTGGATCTTTGCATTTCGTTTTTTCTGCCTAAGTGGAGGATCTTGCATTTGTCCCCGTTGAACTTCATTTTGTTAGTTTTGGCCCATCTCTCTAATCTGTCAAGATCTTTTTGAATCCTGCTCCTGTCCTCTGGAGTATTGGCTCTCCCAATTTGGTGTCGTCTGCAAACTTGATGATCCTGCCTTCTAGCCCTTCATCCAAGTAATTAATAAAGATGTTGAACAGGACCGGGCCCAGGACAGAACCCTGCTGATGGCCCTCCGCTCATCACTTCTTTCCAAGATTTATTTATTTATCGAGTCATCAGCAACCAGTCAATTATATTACATTTCTAACAGAACAAAGCAAACAAACAGACAAAATACAAAAATACAAAATACAGAATACAAAATGTGTGAGTTTGGTAGTTGATTAAATGTCCTTTGACCAGTATCTGGCCACTTGGAGTGCTTCCGGTGTTGCTGCAAGAAGGTCCTCCATTGTGCATGTGGGTGGGCTCAGGTTGCATTGCAGCAGGTGGTCAGTGGTTTGCTCCTCTTCACACTCACATGTCGAGGATTCCACTTTGTAGCCCCATTTCTGAAGGCTGGCTCTGCATCTCGTGGTGCCAGAGCGCAGTCTATTCAGTGCCTTCCAAGTCGCCCAGTCTTCTGTGTGCCCAGGGGGGAGTCTCTCATTTGGTATCAGCCATTGGTTGAGGTTCTGGGTTTGAGCCTGCCACTTTTGGACTCTCGCTTGCTGAGGTGTTCCAGCGAGTGTCTCTGTAGATCTTAGAAAACTATTTCTAGATTTAAGTCGTTGACGTGCTGGCTGATACCCAAACAAGGGATAAGCTGGAGATGTCTCTGCCTTGGTCCTTTCACTATTGGCTGCTACTTCCCGGCGGATGTCAGGTGGTGCAATACCGGCTAAGCAGTGTAATTTCTCCAGTGGTGTAGGGCGCAGACACCCCGTGATAATGCGGCATGTCTCATTAAGAGCCACATCCACTGTTTTAGTGTGGTGATATGTGTTCCACACTGGGCATGCGTACTCAGCAGCAGAGTAGCACAGCGCAAGGGCAGATGTCTTCACTGTATCTGGTTGTGATCCCCAGGTTGTGCCAGTCAGCTTTCGTATGATATTGTTTCTAGCACCCACTTTTTGCTTGATGTTCAGGCAGTGCTTCTTGTAGGTAAGAGCACGATCCAGAGTGACTCCCAGGTATTTGGGTGCGCTGCAATGCTCCAGTGGGATTCCTTCCCAGGTGATCTTCAGAGCTCGGGATGCTTCTCTGTTCTTGAGATGAAGATGATGTTCCAAGATGAAGAGGAAGAATTGGGGGGAAGTACCCTCTGAGTTCGTCCATTTAACTAGCTCCCTAAGGCATTTATCCATATATTATTTTATTATTATTTATTATGCCTTTTCTTGCTTTATTATTAATTTTATTATGCTTTTGTTACTTTGGTATTATTTATTTTACTATGCTAGTCATTTTAATATGCCTTTAATTCAGAAAAGCAACACAGTCCTCTAGCACCACCTGCAGGCCCAGTTGCTTGTTGTTTATTCGATCAGTCGCTTCCAACTCTTCGTGACCGCATGGACCAGCCCATGTCACAGCTTCCTGTCAGCCATCACTACTCCGAGCTCCTTCAACCTCATGGACCAGTCCACGCCAGGCTCCGTCGGCCATCACCACCCCCAGCTCCTTCAAGGATACCATCCATCTTGCCCTTGGTCGGCCCCTCTTCCTTTTTCTTTCCATTTCCCCCAGCACAATTGTCTTCTCAAAGCTTTCCTGTCTTATTATTATGTGGCCAAAGAACTTCATCTTTGCCTCTAATATCCTTCCCTCCAGTGAGCAGTCAGGCTTTATTTCCAGTTGCTAATGCTGTTAAATCCAGCTCAACACATGGCATTCCCCCTCATACACATAGGCGTGACCTCAACCGTTCCCTCCTTACTTGTGAATGTTTGCGGAGGCCCCGGAAGAATGCTGTATTCAGCCAGGCTCTGAGAGGGAGGCCCTCCAGAGGGGCCGTGCAGCGAGAACTGCGCTTCCTCTCTCCCAAACACCAGGACAACCTTTGCACAATGGAAATTTATTCCGAAACAACTGTTTCCCAATAAATTATACAGTTAAAAAAAAGAAGAAGAAGGGATAAAGTGTGCACAGAAAATACAGGAACCTGACAGACAACTGGAACGACAGAGGCTGCAAAACAGTGAAGTGTGGGGTGAGCCTAAACCAAGCCCAGTTTTGCTCCAGCTCTACTTGCCGCTCCCTCCCTCTCCTCCTTTGCTCCTTCATAGGCAGTGCGTAGTGTTTCCTGAAGGAGTAGCACCCCACGGAGAGAGAGAAAGAGAGACTGGTACGGGTCGCACGCTCTACTTGGCAGAACGGGGGGGCGGATAATATCTGAACTGTACAAAGAGTGACAGAGGGGCCACTGTGGAGGAGACCGCGCCTTTCTCAGCCAAAGGGAAGAGAAAGGAGGTCCTAGAATTGCAGGACAGGTTTGGGGTGCATCAACCTTGCATCCTGCAAAAATAATGCCGGGATACAAAGGAAAGGAGTTGAATACTGCGCTGGGGAAGTGGGGGAGCTGCCAACAAATCCCTGGTGATGCCCAGCAAACAACGGAGTGCTCCAGACAGGCCAGATCTTCTATGTGGAGCAGATGAGCATCCATCTGTGACAAGGAGGGGAAGCTGGTATGGATGAAGCTTTGGGAAGGGCTGGCACATGATGAGACAGCAGCAGGGAGGCTGAGGGAAGCCACCTCGTTCCAAAAGTCCCATAAAGGAGAGGCCTGGTTCTGCCCCTTTTCTCTCTCCTCTCATTTTCCAAGCACTGGCGGTACCTTAGTAGTCCTCTGCCCCCAACAGGAAGCCCAGCAGGAAGCTAATGGCAAGTTGACGGTCCTGAGGGGTCTGCTTGGACACGACGGTGGGCGGTGGCCGCAGGAGGAGACTGGCAAAAAGTGTAGCTGCAGGGAAGTAAGCGTTCCTGTGAGAGAAGCCTGGAAAATGACATGGGGAAGGGGGAACTCCTGGCTGGTTTTGAGCAATGCTTACCTATCATGTTGGCACTGACGTTGTTGCTCTCGGAGTATTTCAGTAGCTCCCGCAGGAAGGCCATCACATAGCGAAAGACGTTCCTGTGGGACCGCGGCAACTGGCAGATCACCTATACGAAAGGAAGGGATGTGCTTAGATGCAGTTTGAAGGAAGGAATGAAGGCAGCATTACTCACTCATATTTAGTTTCCCTGCATAAAGGTTTTCAGGGCTGGGTTGCTGTGAGTTTTCCAGGCTTTATGGCCATGTACCAGAAGCACCGGGACTGTGGTGCAGCTGGCTGGGAGTCAGCTGCATTAAGAGGTCATGAGTTCGAAGCCAGCCCGGGTCGGAGTGAGCGTCCAACCAATTTGTGTAGCTTGCTGTCGACCTTTGCAGCCCGAAAGACAGCTGCATCTGTCAAGTAGGAAATTTAGGTACTGCTTATGAGGGGAGGCGAATTTAACTAATTTATGAGGCCGTAAAAATTTCCAGGAAGCATGCAAAGAATGAGGAAGCACTTCATCATTGTCACAAATGGATGGTGCAGCAACAGCTCCCCTGATGGCCAGAATACCCTCATGAAAAAGCTGGAATGTTAAATAGCTTCTGAGTGTCTGTCTATATGTTGTGTGTCTATGGCATTGAATGTTTATGTATATGTACATTGTAATCCACCCTGAGTCCCCTGCAGGGTGAGAAGGTTGGAATATAAATACTGTAAATAAATAAATAAATTCTCTCCTGATGTTTTGCCCACATTATGGCAAGCATCCTCAGAGGTTGAGAGGTCTGAATTAATGCATTTGTAGCTGCCCTGAGTGTCCCCCCCCCCCCCAGGGGGTTGAGAAGGGCGGAGTATAAATGGAATCGGGGAAGTTGTAGCTTTATGAGGTCTTTGGAGAACTGGTGCCTCAGCAAACTGCAAATCCCAGGATTCCATATAATTCAGCCATGGCAGTTAAAGTGGCATCAAATTCTACAGCAAATGCAGTCCTGGTCTTAGATGAGTAATTAAGACAATTCGTTGTCAAAGGCTTTCATGGACACAATATTCCATGTCCGGAATCACTGTGTTGCTGTGAGTTTTCCCGGCTGTTTGGCCATGTTCCAGAAGCATTCTCTCCAGAAGCATTCTCTCGCCCAGTTTCCAACAGACTTCACAACCTCTGAGGATTCTTGCCATAGATTTGGGCGAAATGTCAGGAGAGAATGCTTCTGGAATTTGGCTAAACTCACAACGACCCAGTGATTCCGGCCCTGAAAGCCTTCGACTACACATTTTCAGGGCTGATTCCAGTCATCATAAGTTTTTAATGAATCTGATTGGAAAAGGCTTCTGCTATGGACCAAGGGACTCTTCTGCCAAAAGGCATCAATGGAAAGCTGTCAGGCAGATCATCATCCTTGTGCAACAAGAAAAGATAAATACAACCCATAGTTCCCAGAACCTAGTATTCCAAAGAAAGGCCAATCTTAATGGCAAGCAAGCCAGAAATCAATTATGTGATAACATTGTTGAATTGCATAAATACAGCGTATGGTTCAATCAAGTCAAAAGATGCCGTGATGCTATAAACATAGACAGGTATTAAGGAGGTTTGACAAATCCGCAGTTGCTAGCCACAACGGCTATAGATTAGCTTCAGCATTGCAATAGCCAATTTATATCTCTTTTTATCTCTATCGAACACATTTCTATGTCATCCCGTACCCAAAACTTTCTGCGTGATAAGCAAAGGTTAAAACTGCAAAATGCAAGACTATTAAATTTGCACAATGCAAGACATATTAAATTTAACACAAAGTGGAAAAGCTACAGAAGAAAATGAAAATAAAATAGTTGGGGGTGGGTGGGGTGGGGGGAATAACAAGAACTTTCAGCCTTCAGGACCCCCAGTTTTCAGCAGACTAAACCTTCTTCCTTCCAACCCTAAATGCATACTCTGCATGCATTTCTGGAAAGTGGATCCATACCATCCCAAAATATCCGTTCCTTAAGGCTCACCTGCCGGCAGAGACGACTATCCTGTGAACACTCAAGGCAGCGTTGATACAGTTCGTAGCAAATGACCGGTTCCGGTAGCGCCTCCAAGAAGATGAGCAGGGCTTCGGCCACGGAGTGGTTGCTACCAGCTGGTATCAGCTGTCAAGGAAGGACGGCATGTGGCTAAAATGCCTCCCCATTTCCTCATGAGTTTGTCCCAAGCAAGCCAATCTGTTCTTAAGTGACTGGTCCTAGAAGGCTCAATTTTTTAAATAAAAATGGGATAAAAGATAATGCGGATTGCTCCCAAAGCTGATAGGCAGGATATACAGACTGGGCATAGACAAACTTTGGCCCTCCAGGTATGTTAGGAATTGTGGGAGTTGAAGTCCAAAATACCTAGAGCAGCGTTTCTCAACCTGGGAGTCGGGATCCTGGAGGGGGGGTCATGAGGGGGGTTTCAGAGGGGTTGCAAATGACCATCCAAAAACACATATATCTGATGGTCTGAGGAACCCCTTTGGCAGAGAAGACTGAAGATCTCTCCGCCTGTTCTTCTCTTTCTTTTTGGAAACAGACAGTGAATCCTCCCACCAAAAGCCCTCCTCCTGTTGTGATTGTCTGGCCTCTCAGCTGGCCTCTCAACCTAAGGGAGGGCTGTTTTTGAGACTCAAAGTGGGGAGGGGAGAGCAGGTGTGCTCAGTGCATAGGAGAAAGGTGCGCATGAGCAGGCGAGGGAGAGCGGGCGAGGCTGGAGGGAGGCTTGCGCCAGGAAGTTCCTTCAAGGTAGGGGGGAAAATGCGCAGGCAATGTGGGACTGAGAGTCACCCATCAGCATCAGGAGGAGGAGCAGCAGCAGAAGCAGTTTAGGTAATTTGCAATTGAATTTATTAGAAAAAGTCAGTTTTTCCGTTCGTTTTTTTAAATTAAAGCTCCTACTAGAAAATGAATAAGTATGTGGGTGAACTACAACTCCCAAAATCATGGGTCAGTCCTCCTCAAATCGCACCAGTATTCACAGTTGGCCATGTTGGGTCTGTGTGCCAAGTTTGGTCCAGATCCATCATTGTTTGAGTCCACAGTGCTTTCTGGATGTAGGTGAACTACAACTCCAAAACTCAAGGTCAACGCCCACCAAACCCTTCCAGTATTTTCTGTTGGTCGTGGGAGTTCTGTGTGCCAAGGTTGCTTCAATTGTTACGAGGCATTAAAGCAGTCACCAAAGACCATCAGAAAACATATTTCTGATGGTTTTAGGAACCCCTTTGGCAGAGAAGGCTGACGATCTCGCCACCTGTCCTTCTCTTCCTTTTTGGAAACAGGCAGCAAATCTGTAGGAAGTTTGGCCCAATTCTATAGTTGGTGAGGTTCAGAATGCTCTTTGATTGTAGGCGAACTATAAATCCCAGCAATGACAATTCCCAAATGTCAAGATCCATTTTCCCCAAACTCTACCAGTGATCATATTTAGGCATATTGAGTATTTGTGCCAAGTTTGGTCCAGATCCACCATTGTTTGAGTCCACAGTGCTCTCTGGATGCAGGTGAACTATAACTCCAAAACACATGGTCAATGCCCTCCAAACTCTTCCAGTATTTTCTGTTGGTCATGGGAGTTCTGTGTGCCAGGTTTGGTTCAATTCCATCGTTGGTGGACTTCAGAATGCTCTTTGATTGTAGGTGAACTATAAATCCCACCAACTACAACTCCCAAATGACAAAATCACACCCCCCCCCCCCAACTCCACCAGTATTCAAACTTGGGTGTATCAGTTATTTGTGCCAAATTTGTTCCGGTGAATTAAAATACATCCTCCATATCAGATATTTACATTATGATTCATAACAGTAGCAAAATTTCAGTTCTGAAGTAGCAACGTAAATAATTTTATGATTGGGGGTCACCACAACATGAGGAACTGTATTGAGGGGTTGCAGCTCTAGGAAGGTTGAGAACCACTGATCTAGAAAGATGAAGTTTGCCCATGTCTCCTATACACGAAGTAGAAGCAAGATTTGAAACTGTTCCCTGGGCCGTATCTGTCCTTCCCTCTGCTTGGCCAAATCTGAAGGACAAGCTTAGCTTCTGCTATCTTTGGGGAAAGTGATTATTTTTCCTTGATCACTGTGAAATCACAGCGACAGAGAATAACCTTGTATCATACATGAGAAATATACAGCTCTCCGGATTTTGTTCAGACTACAAGTCCCATGATGCCTTTGCCATTGTTGTCCAAGATCTTGCCAAGCCCCAGATGGACTTTTTCAAAGTGAAGCCAAATCTTTTAAAGAGGCACAGTATGTCTGTGTGAAGAACTGAAGAGTCAAATGACGTTTAGCTGATTCTGCAACCAATAGCAAAACCGTACATAGTGAGAATCTCAGCCACGAGAGAAATAAATAAAGCCTAGCCAACAGATGTTGTTTTTATAGAAAAAGGATACGTATTGTTTCAGGAATACTGGTGTCTAGGCACTCAATGATGTCCTGCAGCTCATCCTGCATCCCTGGTGTCTGGAAGAGGTCCTCCTGTCAGAGAGAGAGAGACATCCTTTAGGAAGGCATGTCTTTACCTGTTATATACAGCTCACTCTGAGGTATATATAACAGGCACAGTGTGCAATTTCCATATAGGGATGTGTGAAATAACTGATGTTGATTCAGTCAGCCCAACCATCTGGATGCAAACATAGAACAAGATGTAATTTGCTATTGGGAAATCTATGTATTTTTAGGATTGCAGCACACTGCGTAAAAGTAAATAATGTGTTTTCCAACAGGCACATAAAAGTATGTGCACCTCCAAAATGCTCACAAACTAGTTAGTTAATGGGCACATAAAATGCATAAATTTGAAAATGGTGTGCAGTGTTTGAGCAATGCATGGAAAAATATGTCTGTTTCAGCCAAGATGTGGGGGTATCTGGGAGAAAATAAGCTTTGCAGTGCATACTGAAAAACCTCAGTGGGCTTGATGTTATAGATCAGGTATGGGCACTCCCAGAACTGGGGGCCAAATATGGCCCCTTGGGCTTTTTTCACAGGCCCTCCTCTCTCACCATCCTATCCTTCCCTCCCTCTCTCCTACCCTTTCGTCCTTCCCTCTCTTTCCTCCCTCCTTCCCTTTCTTTCTTCTTCCTTCTCTTTTCTTTCCTCCCTCCCTCCCTCCCTCTCCCTCCCTCCATTCCCTTCTGTCCTTCCTTCCTTCTCTCTTTCCTTCCTCCTTTCCTCCCTCCCCTTTCTCCTTCCATCTTTCCCTTCCACCCTTTTGTTCTTCCTTCCATCTCTCTTTTTCTCCTTCCTTCCTTCTCCTTCCTTTCTCTTTCCCTTCCTTCCTTCCCTTTTTCCTTTCTTCCCTTTCCTCCCTCCTTTTCTCCTTCCATCCTTGTCTTCCTCTCTCTCCTTCCTTTCTTCTCTTTCCTCCCTCCTTCCCTCTCTCCCTCTTTCTCCTTCCATCCTTCCCTTCCACCCTTTTGTCCTTCCTTCCTTCTCTCATTCTCCTTCCTACCTTCTCTTTCCTTTCTCCTTCCCCTTCTTCCTTTTTCTTCCTTTCCTTTCCTCCCTCCTTCTCTTTCTCCTTCTCCCTCCTTTCTTCTCTTTCTCCTTTCATCCTTCCATCCTACCTTTTCATTCTTTCCTTCTTTCCCTTTTGTCTTTCTTTCCTTCACTCTTTCTCCTTGACCATTCCTCCCTTCCTCCTTTTCATCCTTCCTCTTCCACCCTTTTCTCTTTTCTTCCTCATTCCTTCCTTCCTTCCCCGGGCACCAAGTTCTCCCAGCAGGGAGTACTAGCATGTGGCCCTCAAGTTAGAAAGTTTGCCCATTCCGGTTATAGATTCTATAGCAGTAGTTCTCAACGTGGGGTCCCCAGATGTTTTTGGCCTACAACTTCCAGAAATCCCAGCCAGTTTACCAGCTGTTAGGATTTCTGGGAGTTGAAGGCCAAAAACATCTGGGGACCCCAGGTTGAGAACCACTGTTCTATAGTAAACATAAGCTCTAACAATACAGTAATGAAGAGAAGCTTGCACTTAAGTGCTAGAGCATTTGGTCCCAATCCAAATTCAAATCATTAAACTCTCTTCTAATTAAAAGCACCCTATATCACTAACTACATCAAGAAAGGAACCCTTTTGTTTGGTTATTATTTCAAATACATCCCTCCCCCCTTGAGTCATTCTGGGATGTCTATATTTATCTTATCTGTACATGTCCTCCGCATGTCATCTCCTTGCTTAAAAGTAATTTGCAAGAATATATCAGTGCCCGAAAATTATAAAGCACAAAGTAACTTCAAATATATCGTTTCAAAAAATTGTGTTTGCCTTACACTGGAATGACTTTTATTAACACATACCAGCAACACTTTTCTTCTACCTGGGAAAATGCCATCCTCCTTAACTCACCTGATGGCAGGCATTCTTGAAGAGATGGTCCACCAAGATCCAGATCTCCTTGGGGATCTGCAAAGGCCGCTCACTGGAGGAATCCTCACTATCCTGGGGCACCATGTCCAAGACAGACTTCTCCTGAAGCCCAAAAACAAATTGGGATGGCTTGAGAGCCTGTTTTGGACTTCAGCTCCCATCATTCCTGACCATTAGACATGCTGGCAATAGGTGTAAGACTGTAGGCTCTATATAGCAATATTAAATAACCACTCACAAGCCGTTTTTGCTTAGAAATTGATATATTGCTTGTATCTCTGCAGCAAAGAAAGACATTACTGACTTTTCCCCACCACCACTTCCTTTTATACACCTTTCCTGCCCACCTCCCCCTCTTCTCAGTTTCCTTAATAGAACTTGTTGCTTCACAAGTTCCAATACAAGGTTTCCAGTGCCCTCTGCTGGCTCCAAAATGTCACAGCGAGAGAATTGAGTCTGCCAGGATGATTCAGTCAAGATGTCACGGAGGGAATTTGTGGCCGTCAGAAATTGACTCCTGACATAAGGGGCTTCTGAGAGTTGAAGCCCCAAACACCTGGAGGGCCACGAGTTTGACGCTTCTGCATCAAATTGCACAGGTGGAGCATTTCGCTGCACTTGCTCAATGTATGATTCTGACCACATAATTTACTCTGAATATGCTGTAACCGAGCCAGACAAAGTAAAACTGAGCAATAACTGGAACGTGAATTCCCCCTGCAATCTACAACAGCTAGGTCATAAAAATATTTCTTGTGTGACTTTTGCCCATGGAAAGGGCCCTCAAGGCCCTTTATAATATAACATTACGCAACAGAGGTGTTAACAAACTAGCAACCAGAATTAAAGAATGCTAGCATCACTATGGATGGGAACTGTCTTCCTCCCTCATCTCCCCCCCCCCCCCCCCCCCCCAAATTCTTTCCAAGGGATGCCAATGTAGCTGAACTGGGAAATAAAAAAAATGGCAGGACAAGAATAATGTAACAACAACACTAGCAAAGTGACAGAAAAGATTTTTCAGAGTCTACCACATTGCACAAGAAGGGCTTTTTTGGTCTCGTTTTGCCCATTTCCAAGGAGCCACTACAGTTTTTTTTAATGGCAACCCGTAGGACTCAAGAATCTTATGGACTGAGAGTGGATGTTCTTCCAGATGTCCTTGGATGTCAGTTCCCATCATTTCTTACTGGCTAGGACTGATGGGAACTGCAGCCCAACAATATCTGGAGGGCCACAAGTTCCCAAGCCCTGCATAGACAGTGTATACAGTTAAAACCTATGACATTTAAATCACATTCTATGTTTACTGTGTTTTAACCTGGTCTCAGGCACTATAATATGGGCATGTTTTGATATATGTTTTTATGGTTGCATTATAACTAAGTTTAATATGTCATTTTATTGATGTATTTAAGTACCGTATATACTCGAGTATAAGCTGAGTTTTTCAGACCTTTTTTAAGGCTGAAACATTCCCTCTTGGCTTATACTCCAGTCAAAGCTATTTATTATTTTACTTTATTTTTGTTTTTGTTGTTGTTATTATTACATTGACATTATTTTACTCTATTATTAAGTTTATTATATTTATTATTTTACTCTATTATTATTTTTTACATTTATTATTTTACTCTATGTATTGTTATTACATGTATTATATTACTCTATTTATTATAGTTATTATTACATTTATTATATTACTCTATTATTATATTTATTTTACTGTATTTATTATTATTAAATTGGGTATTTTACTTTATTTATTATTATTTTATTAATATATTTATTATTTTACTCTATTATTTTTTTACTACATTTATTATTTTACTCTATGTATTGTTATTACATGTATTATATTACTCTATTTATTATGGTTATTATTACATTTATTATATTACTACATGAAGCCGCTGGGTGAGATCATCCGGAGTTTCGGAGTGCGATGTCATCTGTACGCAGATGATGTCCAACTCTGTCACTCCTTTCCACCTGCTACTAAGGAGGCTGTCGAGGTCCTGAACCGGTGCTTGGCCGCTGTGACGGTCTGGATGGGGGCGAACAAATTGAAGTTGAATCCAGACAAGACAGAGGTACTCCTGGTCAGTCGTAAGGCCGAACAGGGTATAGGGTTACAGCCTGTGTTGGATGGGGTCGCACTCCCTCTGAAGACACAGGTTCGCAGCTTGGGTGTGATCCTGGATTCATCGCTGAGCCTGGAGCCCCAGGTCTCGGTGGTGACCAGGGGAGCATTTGCACAGCTTAGGCTCGTGCGCCAGCTGCGCCCATACCTTGGGAAGTCTGACTTGGCCACGGTAGTCCACGCTCTTGTCACATCCCGCCTAGACTACTGCAACGCTCTCTACGTGGGGCTGCCCCTGAAGACGGCCCGGAAGCTGCAATTAGTCCAACGCGCGGCAGCTATGATTCTAACAGGAGCGGAGCGCAGGGAGCACACAACCCCCCTGTTGCACCAGCTCCACTGGCTGCCGATTTGCTACCGGGCCCAATTCAAGGTGTTGGTATTGGCCTATAAAGCCCTAAACGGTTCCGGCCCAAGATACCTATCTGACCGCATCTCGGCCTATGAACCCACCAGGACTTTGAGATCTTCCGGGGAGGCCCTGCTCTCGATCCCGCCGGCCTCCCAGGCACGTTGGCGGGGACGAGAGATAGGGCCTTCTCGGTGGTGGCTCCTCGGCTGTGGAACGCCCTTCCTACAGACATTAGGCTGGCACCATCTCTCATGGCATTCTGTAGAAGTTGAAGACCTGGATGTTTGTGCAGGCGTTTGAGTAATTTAGTGCAATCTGGTAATTGAACATAGGAATGGAACAATGGACAATGAATTTGGATCATGCATGGATGATGAGGCGATTGGGGATGGGATTTTTGTAATAACTGTGTATTGGGATTGTTTATTAGTTATTAATGGAAAATGTGTAAATTAATTGTCATTGTTGTATTGAACCATTGCTGTTTTTATTGTCTTTACTGTTTGTGAACTGCTGTGAGTCGCCCTCGGGCTTGAGATACAGCAGTATATAAGCATAGTAAATAAATAAATAAATAAATAAATAAATACTCTATTATTATATTTATTTTACTCTATTTATTATTAAATTGAGTATTTTACTCTATTTATTATTATTTTATTATTATATGTATTATTTTACTCTATTATTATTGGAAGGATACGTAAGCACATTTTCATTGAAGGAGGTTAGAATAATGTTTTAATCAGAGTTGGACAAGCTTATCATAAATTACAGTTTTATGTAAATATTCAAAAATATTTAACCTACTGATGCCTCAATTAATGTAATTTTATTGGTATCTATTTTTATGTTGAAATTGACCAGTAGCGGATGCATTTCCCACTCTGAGCTTATACTCGAGTCAATACGTTTCCTCAGTTTTTGTGGTAAAATTAGGTGTCTCAGCTTATATTCAGGTCGGCTTATACTCGAGAATATATGGTATATTGTGCCCTGCTTAGAGCCAAAAGGAAAGGCGGGTAATAAATAGCAAATTATCATAATCACTGTTGAGCACGAAGACGAGAGGAAGACAAGAAGATGGCAAGGTAAATCATTTGCTAATTGTTAACAAAGCCCACTAACACCGACACAAAAAGTCTGCAAAAATCACCAGAGAAAACACTGCATGGTCTGTTACCTTTTCTAGGAAGTTGTCTTCTTCCTGAGGGCAGAGCAGGAAAGCAAAGAAAGAGAGAAAAACATACAAAGCCTGTTACTGGTGCAGACTAAAAAGAAGAAAGGAAACAACCCAGATACCAGGATGCAAGCTGCCACACAATGGAAGAAAACAAGAGTTTAGTCTGAGTAAAAGGGCAAAAGGGAACAAGGTGGCTTCATAGACGAAGTGACAGATATCAGCCATGGGTTTGGATGCTTGGCACAAAGACAAATGCACAGCTGCAGAGCAGATTCAGAAGATACCCCCGCATTTTCCAACGAGGAAGGTGGGACCTGAGTTTCTTCCACTTCTTACCAGATCGATGAGCTTTGTGACAGGGACTTCACGGATGGGTCGCCTCATGCGGCAGAGCGTCTCCAAGGAGGTCCCAAAGCAGCTGGGCAGGTAGGTCCCACTGATGGTGAGGAAGTAGTCCTTACCGCGATCCAGGTGGAGGACAAGGATATCTTCGATCTTGTCCTCCCCGGAGTTGAGCAGTGTCACTGAGTCCTTGCTGACATACACGTCTAAGGAGATATCGACTGTCTCGTCTGAAAAGGGAGGGGAGCAGAGACTTTGACAGAATATCTTTGGAATGATCTGTTGTATTTAAAATGCACTAAATCAGGCGTGAGTAAAATTGGGCCCTCCAGGTGTTTTGGACCTCAACTCCCACAATTCCTAACAGCCTCAGGCCCCTTCCTTTTCCTCCTTGGCCGCTTAAAAATTTCCTGTGTTTTTAATGCTTGATTTTATATTGTTGTGTTGTATATTATTTCAATTTTGCATTTTAAGTATTTTGCTTGTTTTATTGTGTTTGTGTTATAGCTTGTATTGTATTGATGGGCATGGCCTCATGTAAGCCGCACTGAGTCCCCTGGGGGAGATGGAGCGCGGTATAAATAAAGCTTTACTGTTATTATTATTTGTGGCAGCCACAAAAACAAAGTTTCTGGAGTACAACAACTACTTTCAAACCTCTGACCTTTCAGTCAGCAAGTTCAGCAGCTCAGTGGTTTAATCCGCTGCGCCACTGGGGGCTCCAATGAATATCTTAACCAATTCAACCTAGTTTGTGGCAGCCACAAAAACAAAGTTTCTGGAGTACAACAACTACTTTCAGAGTGAGTACTGCACAATTAAACAGGAAATGACAAACTTTCAAATTTTGTGTCATAGTGTAGGTTATGCAAGGAAAATAACCCCAACAATCCTTTCACACCTCCTTATCAGGAGTTGTTGACAAGTTGAAGATATATGTTGTTCTTTAAAACTTCTGAAGGAATACAGACATTCCCAGAAGACAAAAAGGTAAAGGTTTTCCCCTGACATCAAGTCTAGTTGTTTCCGACTCTGGGGGTTGGTGCTCCTCTCCATTTCTAAGCCAAAGAGCCAGCGTTGTCCGTAGACACCTCCAAGATCACGTGGCCGGCATGACTGCATGGAGCGCCATTACCTTCCTGCCAGAGAGGTACATATCGATCTACTCATGTTTGCATGTTTTTGAATTGATACGTTGTTAGAAGCTGGGCCTAATAACGGGAGCTCACCCAGATCCCTGTATTCAAACCGCCAACCTTTTGGTCAGCAAGTTCAGCAGCTCAGCGGTTTAACCTGCTGCTCCACTAAGGGGCCCTTATTCCCAGAAGAAATGTTGGAGCATTTCAGAATTGCAAAACTGAGTGGGAGAAAATATTTCAGTGAATATTAGCAGATGACCAAATGCAGATTGAGACGTCTGGAAGGCCTCTTTCCAGACATCTCATTCTAACTCCATAAGATGCTATTTTAAACTGATATGATACTTGTGGCCAAATTCCATACAAAAGCAAAGACAGGCGATGGTGACTGCCCAAAGACTCACTTGGCTCTAAGTAGCCCTCGCAGGGTTCAGCACGAAGCCATGGCTTGCAGTACTGGCTGTCGTTGAGCTTGGGGATGAAGGAGAAATGGCAGGTCACCTGTCCATTGTTTGTGATCTGAAACTTCTCCTTCTGCAGCTGTCGAAACTTCACATTCTCAAATGTGAACTGCAAAGCAAAATGGGAGGCAGAGGGAGAGGAGAGAGAAGCAAGCCTTCAGCAACTAGCAAGGAAACATCTTCTGGGGGGAGAGGTTGTCCCAATTCTGGGCCCTTTGTTAGGGGGATTGAGGGACTCAAAGCACCAGGCTCTTTGTTTTCTTGTGTGGAAATCTGTCATTTCTATCTCTTTTCGATGGGAGAGTATTTAGTTCACCTTACCTCCCTCCGGCTCAATTCCAGTGATGGAAGGAAATCATTTTCCATCCTATCCATCATTCGGACAATATCTTCAAACACCTTTCTGTACCGCCGATCATCAACAACTTTCACCTATGGGAGGAAAAGGCCACCACATTGGTTCATCCCATCACAAAACATGGTCACAATCTGGGAATCACCCTCTTGCCTCATCTTCCATGTTTTCTTTTCCTTTTTTTCCCATTGGAGGCATTGCTTTAGTATTAACTACCTCCTCCTCTAAAATCTTTCTCTCCTTCTGAATATTTTCCATTAAACAAATCCATCATTTGTAACAGCTTAAAAACAGTGTCCAGCTGGCAGAGAATTTACGAGGGTTGAATGAAAAGTAATGCCTCCACCTTCGTAACTTGTGTTTGGGTGGGAATATTTTAATAAATCAAACACAGAAATAATCCTTAGAATGCGCTCTTTAACTACCACCTACAACTTCAGAAGTTGTAGGTGACTATGCACTTTGGAAAAGGTCTGCAGCATTGAAAGAGCTTCCAACTTTCCCTCGGTAATTAAATAATGATCGTAACATGAACAGAATCACAGTAGCTGTAATAATTGAACAAAGTCATAATTTACACAGATAGCAGAAATTGGTTGTTGAGGGTTAATTTCTCTTTGTTGCTGTGGCAAGGCTCTGAAGAAACTATGTATTCAGGAATCTAGGTTCAGTTCAATGTGGTGGGGTTTTGGCAAGATGCAATTATATTGAAGGAAACATGCATTTCCAGATAGTATGCCATTGTAAGATCAAGTTAAAGTATGCCAGCCACTTAAAAACAGCAAAGAGAAGAAGCCATGAAAGGATGAGTTGATTAACGGACTCTACAGAGTAGCAATTACTCACTTTCCCCTTTTCCGATATTTATGTTAACTACCACTATTCACTTTTCCACATAATCACCAGACAATTGGATACATTTCTGCCAACAATGGACAAGTTTTCTGAAGCCGTCACGGAAGAAGTCAACATTCTGTTTCCGCAACCAGTGTCTCACAGTTCTCTCATTGTCTTCATCAGAAGCATAATGATGTCCTCGCAGATCTTCTTTCATTATCGGGACCAGATGGACGTCAGACGGTGCTAAATCTGGACTGTACGGAGGATGTATTCTTGAAGGCTTTCCTGGCCGGAATCACTGGGTTGTTGTAGGTTTTTTCGGGCTATATGGCCATGTTCCAGAGGCATTCTCTCCTGACGTTTTGCCTGCATCTATGGCAAGCATCCTCAGAGGTTGTGAGGTCTGACCTCACTACCTCTGAGGATGCTTGCCATAGATGCAGGCAAAACGTCAGGAGAGAATGCCTCTAGAACAGGGGTCCACAAAATTTTTAAGCAGAGGGCCAGGTCACAGTCCCTCAAATGATTGGAGGGCCGGATTATAATTTGAAAAATAAAACATGAATTCCTGTGCACGCTGCACATATCTTATTTGTAGTGTAGAAACACTTAAAAACTATAAAATAATTAAAATGAAGAACAATCTTAACAAATATAAACTTATTAGTATTTCAATGTGAAGTGTGGACCTGCTTTTGGCTGATGAGATAGGATTGTTGTTGTTGTTATGTGCTTTCAATTCATTTCAGACTTAGGCTGACCCTGAGCGAGGGCCGGGTAAATGACCTTGGAGGGCCGCATCTGGCCCCCAGGCCTTAGTTTGAGGACCCCTGCTCTAGAACATGGTCATATAGCCCGAAAAAACCTACAACATGGAGGATGTCGTATGTGGTGAGATCCAGTCTCTGAAGTTTCAAGTCTGTGTGCTTTCATATCAGGCATCAACATCCTGGGTACCCATTGTACACAGATCTTCCGATAGCCAAGCAAAGCAATAATGTCACCCACACTTTCTTGTGAAATGCCAATTATGCTTGAAATTCCTCTCTGAGTGATACGACGATCGCCCTGAATCAATCTGTCAACCTTTTGCTTGTGAAACTCAGTGGTTGCTGTCACAGGACGTCCAACTCCTTGTTTGTCACGCAAATCAGATATTCCCATCTCAACATCTTTAAACTTACTCGCCCAACAACGCACAGTACTCACATCAACACAATCACCATGAACAGCTTGCATTCTCTGATGAATTTCCTTTGGGGTGACACCTTCTGCTGCCAAGAATTCAATGACTGCACATTGCTTAAGTCGCATTGACCGACCGTCTGCACAGGGTTCCATACTTTGCACTTTAACAAAACAACTGTTCAATGCTAAGGCTTCCCGCCAAAACAGAACTGTAGAGGAGAGTCTACTGAACAAGCCAGTACCTGCTGCATACCAGTACTGCCATCAGTTGAGGAGTTATGAAGGTGGAGGCATTACTTTTCATTCAACCCTCGTAAAAACTGAGATGAAGGCAGAGAAGTTGACATTGGAAAAAGAGTCTTGGACTTTGACTCCTGTGACATATGCTAAACCAACTATTGCAGATTTGTTCCTCCGTTCCATCCATATAATGACGAGCAGAGCTGAAGATTATACTGCTACCAATTAGCTGCCATATTTTACTTAAAGATATGCCATTAACTGGGCTTTTGAAGTAATTTTGTTTGAATAGTTGATTTTTTGTTTAATTGCAACCTGATTTTGTGTTATTTCTTTTTCGTGTCAGGAGCGACTTGAGAATCTTGTGTTACTGTGTATCACCTTGAGTCCCATTTGCGGAAGGAAAAATCATCACCATCATTTATATCCTACCTTTTCTCCAAAGCTGGGACTCCAGGTGGCTAATTCAAGAAATGATAAATAAATGAAATAAACAACAACAAAAACACATAATATTAAAGCAACTAAGGAAGGAAATGGATCATCGTCCCCGATGTAAAGGGTTACCCCAATCAGGAAGAGGGAGCTGACGGGCTTGTGGTCACTAGTTTTCAAGTCCATGTGGCTCCGATAGTGGAGCTGATTGACGCCGGTTCCTCTCCAGAGGATTCGGTCACACCAGGCGGGCACTCGGCATTTCCCGCTGTAAAGAGACAAAACAGGCACCAAGGCGGGTGATTACATGAGGCTGCAACACAAGGCACCTGCTGCTTTGCCCTGCATTGTCTCTTTCTTTAATTTGTTTGAGAATGGAAAAGTTATTTGCATTGAAATATCCAAAATGCTCCAGCTGGCTTGCCTAGTAACCATGCTATCTGGACATGTCTTGAAGTTGAAGTCCAAACACCAATTAGTAAGGGTTTATAACAGCATCTGGGTCTCCTGGTGGCACAGCGGGTTAAACCACTGAGGTGCTGAACTTGCTGACCCAAAGGTTGGCGGTTTGAATCTGGGGAGCGGGGTGAGCTCCCGCTGTTAGGCCCAGCTCCTGCCAAACTAGCAGTTCAAAAACATGCAAATGTGAGTAGATCAATAGGTAACGCTTCGTGACCGTATCTCTCCCCATGAACCATCCGGGGCCCTTGGATCTTCGGGGAAGGCCCTCCTTTCGCCCCTGCCAGTCTCACAAACTTGTCTTGGGGGCACAAGGGAGAGAGCCTTCTCCTCTGTGGCTCCCCGACTCTGGAACTCATTACCTGGAGAGATCAGGAAAGTCCCTGCACTAGAAACCTTTAAAAAGAACCTTAAAACCTGGCTCTTCTGCTGCGCCTTTGGCGAGTAGGTGCACAACACAACACTATTGCTCCCCTCAACGCTTCTATCACTGCAGTACACGCCCCACCTAATGGGAAGTTTAGTTCCTATTCTTATCTCATTCGAGTTTTTTAACATTTTATCCTGCACATGTGGCCCGCCCACTGTCACTGTGATTGTGTTTATTGTAATGTTATTCTGTTACTGTATTCATATGTTTTTTTTAATGTAATTTTGATGCTGTTGCTTGTTGCTTATATTTTGGTTTTATTTTGCTGTAATATGCTGTCCGGGTTTGGCCTCATGTAAGCCACCCCGAGTCCCCATTGGGGAGATGGTGGCAGGGTATAAATAAAGTTTATTACTAATATTATTATTAATGGCACTCCACACAGTCATGACAGCCACATGACCTTGGAGGTGTCTATGGACAATGCCAGCTCTTCGGTTTAGAAATGGAGATAAGCACCACAACCCAGAGACGGACACAACTAGACTTAATGTACCTTTACCTATAGCAGCTATAGTCAAAGAATCCAAAGTTTCTTCCTTTTGTGTTAGCTGAAATTATAAAGAATCCAAGTATGCACCTGCCTCCTCTCACCTGTGCTCTATATTCTACTTCTGAACTTCCTCAAAGGAAAAGTCCCACTCCCTCTCAGATACTGTCATCTTGATGTTGTAGGCTTTAGGAAACCACACATCTCCCTGCTGGCCATAGAGAGGCTTTCAGAAGAAACTGAATGCTTTCCTGTTTTGTTGTCTCAGATTCCATCTGGGTCTTCATTGGCTTGTTACTCAGGTTCCAACTGGTAAAAGGTAAAGGTTTCCCCTTGACAGTAAGTCTAGTTGAGTCCGACTCTGGGATTGGTGTTCATCTCCATTTCTAAGCTGAAGAGCCGGCGTTGTCCGTAGATGCCTCCAAGGTCATATGGCTGCATGGAGCACCATTACCTTCCCGCCAAAGCAGTACCTATTGATCTATTCACATTTGCATGCTTTTGAGCTGCTAGGTCGGCAGAAGCTGGGGCTAACAGTGGGAGATCACAGTGCTCACCAGATTCCAACCGGCAACCTTTTGGTCAGCAAGTTAGCAGCTTAATGGTTAAGTCCGCTGCACCACTAGGGGGTAATTACCAGGTTAGGGTAATTACTGATGCTCCTGGGGTGCTTTGGTGCCACTAACTGTTTTAGACTGATAGACTGATCTTGAGTGAGAGTTCAAATCTGCAGCCCTGTTGCACTCCAGGACAGGAAAAGCCCTCTGACTTTAAACACCACACGTTGAATAGGAAAACAATCCTTTTATTGTAGATAATTAAAAAGCAGCAAGTAAAAAGCACTTTAAAGAAATAGGTAAATCCAATTAGGTAAGAAAATAAGCAGGAACAAAACAGTCCAGGGTAAAGTTCAGCAAAGTCCATGAAAACAAAGTCCACACTTCTCTAATATAATCCAGAAAACCAGAAAACATTAATCCAAGGCATGAGTATGTAGTCTTAAAATCCAAGAATCAAAACCATGAAACAGAAAATATTTAAGCATGAATCTTCCAAGCAATCTTCCATGAACAAGGATGAGAACTTAACTTGATCCCAAACCATGCTTCATCTGACTACATTTCCCATACTTGCAACTTTTATCCCCTCTTTAAGCTATCCCAAGCACTCCGAAAATTGTTTTGCTTTCATTGAGATTCCCTTATCTTTTTCTGTCGGATTCTGGCAGACCGCCGAAGGCACTGTTCGGCTTATCTGTTTTGACTAATCTCCTGCTGTCTATCTATTTGCTCATTAACTTCTGCAGGTGCAGAGTTGTTTTCAATCCCCAAATCCTGGGAACTCTCTGGTAACAATTCAGGGAGTACACCATCACCCTTCAGGGACATTCTCATGGGAAACTACACTTTGAACAGGGGTCTCCTGGTCTTTCTCTGCATTAATATCCTTGACCAAACCATTGCCATCTTGAAACTCATTGCCGTCACTCCCCACATCCAAAGCACCCTGCCAACAAAGACTATTTCTAAGCATATTTACAGGTTACCATTCTTCATGGGCTTATTTACAAGGCTGAACTATTGGGTAGATACTCACCTGGAATCCCAGCGGTCTGTTTTAGAGTCATATTTGTATGTAGGGATAAAATTGATTTCTCCTTCCGTAAAATCAGCAAAAGCTGTCTTTTGAGCACGCTGAATATTGAGCTAGAGGCAAAAAAACAACAATAGGGCAAGTCAACAAAAATATGGAAAACTATTTAAAACTACAATTTCCAGAGCTCCTAACCATGCAGTTGTTTTTTTAAAAGTGAATTTCCCATTCTCACAACACCATACTAACATGAACATACTTCAACCACCCTATGTGGCAAATGAGTTCAAAATTGGCAACTGCATCATGTGATCTCGGCACATTATTTATTATCAGTATTTATATTTTGTCCTTCTCACCCCGCAAGGGACTCAGGGCAGATCACAATGCACATATCCATGGCAAACATTCAATGCCATAGACACACAACACATATAGACAGAGACACAGAGGCTATTTAATTTTCCAGCTTCATGAGGATATGGTTTTTTTAAAATTCCAGTCATCGGGAGAGCTGTTGCTTCACCATCCACTTGTGACACTGATGGAGTACTTCCTCATTCTTTTTGCACGCTACTGGAGAGTTTTATGGCGTCGTAAATTAGTTAAATCAGCCTCCCCGCATATATAAAGACACACAGAGGCTATTTAACATTCCAGCTTCATGAAGGTATTCTGGCCACCAGGGGAGCTGTTGCTGCACTGTCCATTTGTGATACTGATTAAGTACTTCCTCATTCTTTGCATGCTTGCTGGAGATTTTTATGGCCTCGTAAATTAGTTAAATTCACCTCCCCGCATAAGCAGTACCTAAATTTCCTACTTGACAGATGCAACTGTCTTTCGGGCTGCAAAGGTCGACAGCAAGCTAGACAAATGGCCAGAAGCTCACTCTGACCCGGGCTGGCTTCGAACTCGTGACCTCTCGGTCAGCAGTGATTTTAATGCAGCTGACTCTCAAGCAGCTGCGCCACAACCGAAGTCCAAGCCTTCTGAAGCCTTTCCTGGTGTCTCAATCATCTCATGTTAATCAAGGCCTTGCTAAGTAAATGGCTGTAGGTTTTTCTTGGCCAGCCTAAGGTGGGGGATCCAAATGCAGGAAATTGACGAAATAAACGCAGGGTTGTCTCTCTCACCTGGTCAAATGTTAGGAGTTTCTGAAGCTCATTTCTACCGATTATACATTTCACGTCATTGGCATCAGGAAGGCAAAGCCTATAGTTCAAATCTCCCAACCAGATGACAACACTAAAAGAAACAGGAAACAGCAGAGGAACCACAGCTGTTATCAGGCACATTTGGGAGGGGGGAAAACTGGGTGCAAACAAATAGGATTACAACCCTAAACACATTTTTAGAACCGAAGACTTAAGGAGAGTACTTCGGAAAAAAGTGCTGTGTTATTTTCATCTGTACTGTTTTTCAACAGACCTTTTAATGTTTTTCATAGTTTTTTTTACTTTTAAAAACTCTTTTTACTTCTTAAACTTTTTAATATACATGAATATATATATTAAAACCAAAAAGTAAAAAAAAGGTTTTAAAAAGTTTTAAAAAGTTAAAAAAAGTTTTTAAAAACTTTTTTTACTTTTTGGTTTTAATATATATGTTTACTTCATTTGCTCTAACTGTCTGTGTATAGTCTATACAAAGCAGCATTTAATGTATGTATGTATACTGTGATCAGCCCTGAGTCCCCTTTGGGGCGAGAAGGGCGGAATATAAATAAAGTGTTATTATTATTATTATTATTAATAATAATAGTAATAATAATAATATTTTAATGTAGACTTTCTATATGCTTTTTAATTGTATAACAAGTATAAATAAAGCAAACAACAAGGTGCTGGCTCCTGATTTGATGTATCAGTTCTAAATGTTTGAGAAATTCCAGGCTTGGGGTGAATGTAATCTGAAGGGTGAGCCTTTCTCTGTATGGTTCTGTCCATGCATTAAAACAGGACAGGAAACTTATGACCTTTCAAGTATGCCTCTCTCTATGTCCAGAAAGGCAGAAAATGATGAGAAGTTGACTCTAACATTTGGAAGAACACAGGACCCACAATCTTGCACTAAAATGTTCAGCAAGAGATACTTTTCTCCCACCTGGAAGTGTAGTATTTTGAGAAAGATGTGTTATTTTAAGGGTTGTTCTCTCTCCTCTGGGCATTTCTTTATCTCTGCTGTTTTTAATGGCATTTTTGTATGGTTCTAACTCTTTCAAACTGTATTGGTGAAAAAGAAAAGGAGTATCAAGGAGTAAATTTGAATGGTGGAGGAAACCCTTGTAATAGATAACCATAAAGAAATGTCACCATTCTAAGGGTTGCGGTGGCGCAATGGGTTAATGACCTGAAGGTTGGCAGTTCGAATCCGTGGGATGGTGTGAGCTCCCACTGTTAGTCCTAACTCCTGCCAACCTAGCAGTTAGAAAACATGAAAATGTGAGTAGATCAATAGGTACCGCTTCAGTGGAAAAAGACAAGACGCTCCAAGTAGTCTGGCTGGCCACACAACCAGGCTTGAAAATAGAGAAAAGTGCCCCCAAAATCAGAGATGAGCACCACCTCCAGAAGCCAGAAATGAAAAGAGAAGCCTTTGCTTGTGTTTGTGTGTCTCATTACATGTGACTGTAATCAAGGCACTAAATGTATGCTTGTGTCTACTGTATATGCTGTAATCTGGTCTAAGTCCCCTAAGAGAGAAGGGTGTAATATAAATAAAGTGTATAATTATACTGACACTAATCACAGTATGACACAGCAAACAAGATATATATGTTGGATTCCATGTATTATTATTTATTGTTATTATTGTTGTTATTATGATTGTTGTTGTTGTTATTAGTTGACTCCCACAACCATTTATTATTTTACTGCCTAGACCAGGGGCCCTCAACCTTTTTAAACAGAGGGCCAGGTCACAGTTCCTCAAACAGTTGCGGGGTCGGATTATAATTTGAAAAAAAACCATGAATGAATTCCTATGCACACAGCACATATCTTATTTGTAGTGCAAAAAGTGGGTGCTAGAAACAATATCATACGAAAGCTGACTGGCACAACCTGGGATCACAACCAGATACAGTGAAGACATCTGCCCTTGCGCTGTGCTACTCTGCTGCTGAGTATGCATGCCCAGTGTGGAACACATCTCACCACACTAAAACAGTGGATGTGGCTCTTACTGAGACATGCCGCATTATCACGGGGTGTCTGCGCCCTACACCACTGGAGAAATTACACTGCTTAGCCGGTATTGCACCACCTGACATCCGCCGGGAAGTAGCAGCCAATAGTGAAAGGAACCAAGGCAGAGACATCTCCAGCTCATCCCCTGTTTGGGTATCAGCCAGCACGTCAACCACTTAAATCTAGAAATAGTTTTCTAAGATCTACAGAGACATTCACTGGAACACCTCAGCAAGCGAGAGTCCAAAAGTGGCAGGCTCAAACCCAGAACCTCAACCAATGGCTGATACCAAATGAGAGACTCCCCCCTGGGCACACAGAGGACTGGGCGACTTGGAAGGCGCTGAACAGACTGAGCTCTGGCACTCCAAGGGGCCAGATACTGGTCAAAGGACATTTAATCAACTACCAAACTCATAAATTTTGCATTCTGTTTGTTTGCTTTGTTCTGTTAGAAATGTAATATAAATGACTCGTTGCTGATGACTCGATAAATAAATAAGTGCAAAAAAAAACACTTAAAAACAATGCAATAATTAAAATGAAGAACAATTTTAACAAATATAAACTTATTATTATTTCAATGTGAAGTGTGGGCCTGTTTTTGGCTGATGAGATAGGATTGTTGTTGATGTTGTGTGCTTTCAAGTCGTTTCAGACATAGGTTGACCCTGAGCGAGGGCTGGGTAAATGACCTTAGAGGGCCATATCTGGCCCCCTGGCCTTAGTTTGAGGACCCCTGGCCTAGACGCTTGAACCTGTTGCCCTCCAGTTGCTTGGGTCTCCAACTCTGAGAAGCCCTAACCAGCTTGTTTAATGGTTAGGGATTCTGGGTGCTGAAATCCAAAATACCTGGAGGGCCATAGGGTAAATAGGTATGGCCAAGACCAAAGTCAGAGACCGTCGTGCTGCCTGATACATATATATAGCTGTTCTAATAAAAACCTTGCCACTGAAGCTTCGCAAAAAACAAGGCTACAAATTATTTCCAGATAGTTGAAGAGACTAAGATTCTGTAAGTGTAAATTCCATAAGAAGAAAGTTTTGAGAGTGGGTGAAAGAGAGGGGAAGACAGAGTGAAAGAGTGAAAGAGTTGGGAAAAGATAGTGCTGCCAGGCACAGTGGGAGATGAAAAGTATGTGAAAGGTTCACAAAAGAGAAATTAGAATAACCTGGAAGAGACAAAGTAGAGGAAGCAAAGGAGAACTGTTTTGGAAAAAGGGATTGTTTTGGAACAGAAAGGCACTGAAATGTTGTACAGAGGGGGAAAGGTTTGATTTGTGTGTGAGCATGTTTACTCTACTCTGGCCAATTATAAAACTCATGATGCAGCACAGCCTATGTGGCATTTTTCTTCCTGCTGCACACCCAATAGTGTATTTTGCAAATTAAACTACTGTATTTTAAATCTCCTCATCTCTAGTGTTTGATTGGAATATAAATACAAAGCACGTGCGATCTATAAAAAAAATAGGTCTAAACTGTGCTCAAAAGTAGTAGAAGTCAATATTTAGCCTACTTGCAATTTGGTGCCCTCCAGGTATTTTGAACTCCAACTCCCACCCACTTTTGTCAACATCGTCAATAATAATAATAATAATAATAATAATAATAATAATAATAATAATAATAATATCATCGGCACATTAGGTGCAGTGCCTAAAGACCTTGGCCTGCACTTAAACACAATCGGCGCTGACAAGATTACCATCTGACTGCTGCAAAAGGCCACCTTACTGGGATCTGCACACATTATTCGTCGATACATCACACAGTCCTAGACACTTGGGAAGTGGCTGACGTGTGACCCAATACAACAGCCAGCAGAGTGTTCTTGTCTGCTGTGGACTCATCTTGTTGTATTTTTAATAATAATAATAATAATAATAATAATAATAATAATAATGCTTTATTTATACCCCATCACCATCTCCCCAAGGGGAATTGGATCAGTTTACATGATCTTAGAATAATGAATCTTAAGCGGCTTATGGTCAATGGTCTTATTTATTTATTTTATTATTTATTTCAAAGTTTTCTATACCGAACTTCTCAACCTCATTGAGGGACTCAGCCCGGTTTCCAACCATAAAAACACATACAATCATTAAAATATAATATATCACAATTACAGTAACAGATTTAAAATAACACTATATATAAAACTATGGTGGTCAGTCGTCGTATTAAAATCAGATCTTAGTAGTGATCTAGGATTGTCTGCACGCTCTATCCCTCTCCAAAATTTCTATCCTGTTTATATGTCACCTGGTCAAGCCCAGCTTTATTTTTTAAACTTTTAATTAGTACATTTGGCCCTGCCATAGGTTTTTAAACGTTGCTGTGTTATTGTTAATGTTTATTGCTATTTTCTGTTTATGAGCTTTATTTATTGTTGTATTATTTTGCTATTGTTTTACTGTTGTATTGTGGGCTCGGCCTCATGTAAGCCACACCGAGTCCCTTGGGGAGATGGTAGCGGGGTACAAATAAAGTTTAATAATAATAATAATAATTAATAAGATTTGTAGTCCCAGTTGGAGGGCACCAAGCTGGGGAAGCCTACCAAAGATTGGCCTACCCAAAGCTCCTTACAACCTTCCCAAGGCAACCCCATTGAGACGCACTCATGTTTCATGATTGTCAGTTGTGGCAGACCCTGGTCTGGAGGCAGGAAGCTCATCCGGGCACAGATGTCCTTGTAATCCTGGTTCCGGCGCTCAAAGTCTTCCACATGGGCAGCGAGATGGGAGTTGACAATGCAGAAGCTGGTGTTGTGGAAGACAAACCTCACGGCCACCCCGCCTTTATTACCCTGCAGAGGCCGAGGGCAAAACAGCGGTTAGCAGACAAGCAGAGAAGGAAGACCAACTGGTTGGAGGAGGCAACGAAGAACAAGACTTAGGAGTTAACTTACCATCTTTCCCATAATGCCTGTGCCCACCGTCTCTGCCATTACATCCCTGATATAACCGTAATGTTCTTTCCGGGCAAAGACAAGCAACATCATGCCCACCAGACGCACCAGCTGCACCTGCAAGACACAAGGTACCAGGATTGGCTGCCTACTCTGGTTAAAAGCCTGGCAAGCCTCGAACGGAGGGAAGCAGCACTCACTTTCTTGTACTTGGCCTTGGAATGCAGAGCCTTCTCCACGGCCGTCAGCCATTCTTGCTCCTTGGTTGAATCAAAGTAGAAGAACGCCTCTGTACTCAGGTCCAGTTCCTGGAAGCTAAAGACAACACTTGTTATGCTCTGGACACCAGTTTCTACCAAGAGGGTTTTCCTCTAGGCCAAGGCTTCTTAAACCTTTTCCCCCTTAGGACCCCTTACCTCTTGAAAGGGATTCCCTCACTTATTGTGGGGGTTACGTTCCAGGACCTCCCACAATAAGTGAAAAACTACGATGTAGGGACACTGTATTTATTTGAATATTTATACATTATTTTAGTAGATATACACTATTTAAAGTCTTTATAACTTAAAGTGAAGGAAGGAAGGAAAGGGTGGAGGGAGAGAGGACTAAGGAGGGAAAGTGCCTCAGAGAGCGGTGGCGGCAAAAACCCACGAAACAGCGAAAACACTGTGATATATATATTTTTAATTAATATTTTTTGAAAACCACAAAACAGCAAGTCCGCCAAAAGCAAACTGCGAAGTAGTGAGGGAACACTGTATAAATCAAAACATTTACTAATAATATATTATCATTTGCAAGGCTTGCTAATCAAGCTGATTTTCTTTGTTATGGTTCCAGCTGAAGCTTTCACAGCAGAGTCTACTGTAAACACTTCATATTGTTGCTAACAGATCAGTGTAAATATCTAGGTGGCATTCAGAAACTTTTGACTGTTGTCCAATTTTCAACACTGAGCGAAGGGAACCCCTTTTGGGACCAGGACCGACCATGCTCAAGGCCCCTGGCTATCCATGCAACCTGACCATTTCCGATGATAGACTGCTCCACAAAAGTGTTGCACACACAATTCTCTGGGCTGCTACCCTGCAATTGATCCCTTAATGAAATGGAATGTCTGCCCTCCGCATTTGCTGGAGTAAGAAGCACAGAGAGTGTAAAACTCAGGAAGAAGCGGAAAACAATAGGGAAGGGCCTCACCCAACGCAGTAAAGGTCTGGAGGTTCAGGGTCGCAGCTCAGCCAAGGTTCCAATCCACTGTCCGGAGACTGACCGTTCACATTCCACGTCCCCACAAAAAATCTGCAATGGATAGAAGGCTGTTGGAACAGGATGGCCATCTGAATAGACCGTCAAGAGGCAAAGACATTAAGAGTGAATAGCTTTCTACAGCTAGGATTACAGAGGAAGATGGGCCAGGGCCATCAATAATAGGATTCCTCCAGCTGGTAGTTGCTCATGCCTGACATTCTGAGCAGATTTTGCAAGTCAAAGAAATCTGCATATTCAAACCAAGCTCTTCCCTGAAATCCAGGGATGGGACAAATATGGTCCATCACAAGGATATACGTGATTCACGGAGGTATTTCTCAGGCCTTAGGTGTCCAGATTTTTTCTTAAACTAGAAATATCCCATGGGGGTATGTCTACCATTTCACCAAGCTCTGGAAAAATCCCCCTTTTCAACCAGGAAATAAATGTTTCCCAATGTAATAATAATAATAATAATAATAATAATAATAATAATAATAATAATAATAATCTTCTTCTTCTTCTTCTTCTTCTTCTTCTTCTTCTTCTTCTTCTTCTTCTTCTTCTTTATTTGTTACCCCAGGAAGGTTCAAAACATGGGGAAACTACTCTCGAGGCTTGAAAATGCAGTGGAGGTGGAGGTGAAAAACACATTTATTTATTTTTTTTAAAAAGAGGAGTTGCATAGGAGCCCAATTCACCCAATTCACCTGGTTGTTAGAGTGGTGCTGCATTTCTGTGTTCTCAAATAATATGCTGAGTCCAGGTTGGTTCATCAGGTGCTCTGCTATGAGTGACTTTTCTGGTTGAATTAGGCTACAGTGCCTTTCATGTTTCCAATAAAGGATCCCCCCCCCCCAGGCAGGAATCAACCAGGCCTTGAAGCTACAAAGCATTTCAATGCTAATTAAGGTGGCCAACTGCAACATTCACACTTGCCTCAAGCAGACAAGAGTTCTTTCATCCTGGACACTATTCCACAGATATATAAAACCCACTTGTCTAGTTTCCAATGCTCTCAGAATCTCTGAGGATGCCTGCTATAGATGTTGGCGAAACATCAAGAGAGAATACTTCTGGAACATCCATACAGCCCAGAAAACTCACAGCAACCCAGTGATTCTTGCCATGAAAGCCTTCGACAACACATTGAAGAGGACAATCTTTGCCTAATGACAAAGATGCCAGAAGGCCATCATTTGCTGAGGGACTTCCTCGCCTTCCACAAACTTTCTTGCTGAGAGATATAGATCTGCATCTCACCAGGACATTGCTGGCTGAAGTGGGAGACCAGTGGCAGAACCAATTTCAACTATGGCAATTCAATGGGATTCTCACCTGAAATTCTGGATGTTGACATACTCCTTCTCTCTCTTGGCGATGGCATGCTTGATGAGGCCCTCCCTCTGCCCGGACTGCGTATTTGTGGACGGCGTGAAGAGCATGCGCATTGTGCCGCTTACTTTAGGCTGGTCCTTGCTCGTGCTTTCCTTCTCACGGAGAACTCTTAACACAAAGGAGAGCATATTCCAAACAGCCCTTTCAACTGAGGACGTTAAGAGGGTGGAGGGAACATCTCCGGAGTGACTTACGGCCTGTTTGGTGGCAGAGGGGGAGGTGGAGGGTCTCGGTGAGCACTCATTTGCTGGTTCTGCAGGTTTCGTTTCTTCTCCAAACTCATGGCACTAAAGTTATCCTCGAATCCTAGAAAGCCAGAAACAAGAGAAGCTTCTGAGCTTGAGAATCATCCAGAACTCTCTGTAAAACACCTAGGACAGTAGTGTCAAATTTGTGGCTCTCCAGATGTTTGGGACTCCAACTCCCAGCTTGCCAATGGCCGGGAATTCTGCAAACCAAAGTGCAAAATATGAAGAGAGCCACAAGTTTGACACTATTGACTTTGGCGAAGGAATTTGGGAAACATCACTGAGTGTAGACAGAGCCTGCTGTCACCACCCTCACACTTCCAGTTCAACTTGTTTTGGTTTGCTCTTGCCCAGGACAGAGTTGGGAAGGCAGCAAGGTCTCTGAATGAGAGTGATTGCGAAAGATGGAAGCAAAGATTACAAAATTCCAAGTGTTTACTAGGCAGGCACTAAACAGGAAAGGAGGCATCAGAAAGATATAGGCTTGTACCTGCCGAGATGGGCCCAGCAGGCCTCGAGAGTCCTTTTACTTGTTGCCAAGAGGCATGGTCCACAGGATCAGGCAAAGAGGCTTTGGAAGGGGCTGCAAAAAGGAAAAGAAGCCAGAAATACCCATCCCATGTAAGGCACTGTTGCACACTACATCAGGAATGTTGGGCAAGTGGGCTTATTAACAAAAGACCCTCCTCATAAATGCACAGCAGAGTAACTTAGCAGCCGCAACGTAACTGAGCACCAGTAGCCCAAAGTGATAAAAAGAACAAAAACACACAGACCAATATTTTCTCTTCCTTAGAATACTTTTCTTTATATCAAAATACTATAGTTGCACTACTTACAAGAACAAGGTTTCCATAACACAAATAAACAAACACAAAGTACCTTTATACACAGCAGCCTTCACACTGGAGCTTTCTCACACGAGGCTTCTCTCACACAGAGGTTTACCTCACACTCCTCAAGACGACACTAGCTTTAGCCCACTGACTCTAACAGCTTCAGCCCAATAACTCTTTCAATGCTTGACTCACACTTTTGTAATCAAAAATACCCAGTTAATTTTTAATATTTCTGACAAGGAACGCCTTTTCACTCAGCATCAATCAGAGTCCAGCTGTTGCTAAAACTACATAAATTAATTTACAAAAGGCAAATACAAAAGAGAAAAATGGTACTTCCCAAAAGGCAGTAGAAAAGGTGCTATAAAATAGCAATGGTCCAAAATACCCAGATCAAAAGTCCAAATAGGTAATGTCCATGAAAATCCAAGATATCCAAAGACAGAACATCCAAGAGCAGGATACGTGAGAGTCAATATAACAAGGTACATGAAAATCCAAGGAGTCAAAGCATAGTCAATAATCCATAGCATGTAAACAAAATCCATTCAAACATAGGCAAAACTTGAGAGCTGGTCATAAACAGGGTGGTTTAACCAAGTTGTCTGTTCTGAAGTGCTCAAAACAACAGAATCTAATTTAAGCTCAAACCTGACCCAACAAACATGAGATCTGGGTTGCTGTGAGTTTTCTGGGCTGTATAGCCATGTTTTAGAAACATTCTCTCCTGACATTTCACCCACATCTATGGCAGGCATCCTGGGCTGTATGGCCATGTTCCAGAAGCATTCTCTCCAGACATTTCACCCACATCTATGGCAGGCATCCTGGCCTGTATGGCCATGTTCCAGAAGCATTCCCTCCAGAAGTTTCACCCACAGCTATGGCAGGATTTTTTTTTTTTGTCGTGTCAGGAGTGACTTGAGAAACTGCAAGTCGCTTCTGGTGTGAGAGAATTGGCCATCTGCAAGGACGTTGCCCAGGGGACGCCCAGATGTTTTTGATGTTACCACCCTTGTGGGAGGCTTCTCTCATGTCCCCGCATGGGGAGCTGGAGCTGATAGAGGGAGCTCATCCGTGCTCTCCCCGGGATTCGAACCTGTGACCTGTCCGTTTTCAGTCCTGCCAGCACAAGGGTTTAACCCAATGCGCCACCGGGGGCTCCTACTTCTGAGGATACCTGCTATAGATGTGGGTGAAACGTCAGGACAGAATGCTTCTGGAACATGGCAATGCAGCCCAGAAAGCTCACAGCAACCCAGTGATTCCGGCCATGAAAGCCTTCGACAACACATTAAACATGAGAGCATCTTTTTTTGCACCTGGACTTCAAGGACTGCAAAGATTTTTTCTCACTAAGTCTTTCTGATCTCCTCATTAACCTTTCTTTGGCTCTCTCTGAGTGGGGACCTAGTCTCATATCACGAGTTAGCTCCCCATTTTCCAATGGCTGGGAAGGCCCAACCAACTGATTCTCAGGAAAAGCATCCTCTATCTCTTCCGTCCCTGGCCTGTCTCAGTGATCTGTGGCCTGCATTTCAACCTGAGGAGACACAGACCCGTAAAAATCCCATCATCTCCTTCATTTTCTGAATCAGAATCCCCTGCTGGCTGCTGAGCCCCAACAGGCGCGTGATGCTTCCAATGTAGGACATAACCAGACAAGATGAGCAGCAGTGTTTACCTTTCTGGATTCTCAGCACTTCATCAAGAAAGGCCAAGCATTGCTCCTCATCAGGGATCTCGAAGAGGCGTTCTGCTGTCCAGTCTCCCTGCACCCGAATCTTGCAGCCAGCTATAAATACACACACACAGAAACCCACATGTTCAGGAAACAGGGCACAATGCTGATAAGCAAAACAGCTCAAGCAGCCAAATTCATTGAACTTGAAAAGGAGAGAATTGTAGATCAAGGATGAAAATGCAACTTCATGCACCGGCTGATTTGTTGTTGATGTAAATTCAAAGACTGTAATGAATTTATTTCTGTGCACAAAGTCAAAGAGCACCATAGTGTTCCTCTGACACATGTATAGGAGAAATAGCTCAAAGCAGGAAGAGACACCTTTATTACTGTAATCTGTAAATGAATTTGCAATCTGAGTGGACTTTGAACCACAAAGCAGCCACACCTAGAGATGCTTTACTTTTTGAACTTTGATCTAGTTTCCATGAATTACCTGGCGTATTTTGACATTTATTAAGAGCTTTCAATTGTATATAAAACCCACAAGGAAACAATGTTTTACAAACATGGCAAGGAGATGGGGACAATGAATAACAGTGAATTCTCTATTACAATATAATGAAAGTTTTGTTAAACACAAACGTTTTGCAATAAAGGCACATTTATTGATTTACGACATTTCTATGCCGCCCTTCTCACCCCGAAAGGGACTCAGAGCAGTTTACAAGTAAAAAGTAAATATAATATATTATATTATTACCATAGCACAATATTAATATTATATATTACATTGTACTATAACGGTATACTGTAATATTATTAGTAATATTACATTTAATATAGAATATATAATATCTTATATATTACATTGTACTATAACATTATACTGTAATATTAGTAATATTACATTTAATATAGAATATATAATTATATCATATTATTATATTATATTGTATTAAATTATAATATTATCAATATTATATGTATATATACAATATATTATATTATATTTATATTATATTATATTTATATTATATTATATTATATTATATTATAAGTACAGTGCAGGAGACAAGATGGAACTACATTCATGGCCCATCTCTTCATTCTGATCTCAGAGCAGCGGTTGGTGCTGGGGGTTCCCAACACATATAAAGTTAATATTTCCTATAGATCAGTGTTTCTCAACCTGGGGGTCGGGACCCCTGAGGGGGTCCCGAGGGGGTGTCAGAGGAGTCACCAAAGACCATCAGAAAACACAGTATTTTCTGTTGGTCATGGTGGTTCTATATGGGAAGTTTGGGCCAATTCTATTGCTGGTGGGATTCAGAATGCTCTTTGATTGTATGTGAACTATAAATCCCAGCCACTATAACTCCCAAATGTCAAAGTCTGTTTTCCCCAAGATCCACCAGTGTTCACATTTGGGCATATTGAGTATTCGTGCCAAGTTTGGTCCAGATCCATCATTGTTTGATTCCACAGTGCTCTCTGGATATAGGTGAACTATATCCAACTCCAAAATGCAAGGTCAGTGCCCACCAAGCCCTTCCAGTATTTTATATTGGTCATGAGAGTTCTTTGTGCCAAGTTTGGTTCAATACCATCATTGGTGAAGTTCAGAATTCTCTTTGATTGTAGGTGAAATATAAATCCCAGCAACTACAACTCCCAGATGACAAAATCAATCTCCTCCCCAACCTAACCAGTATTCAGATTTGAGAGTATCGGGTATTTGTGCCAAATTTTGTCCAATAAACGAAAATACATCCTGCATATCATATATTTACATTACGATTCAAAACAGTAGTTATGATGTAGCAACGAAATTATAGTTATGATGTAGCAACGAAAACAATTTTCTCATTGGGGGTCACGACAACATGGGGAACTGTGTTAAGGGGTCGCGGCATTAGGAAGGTTGAGAAACACTGCTATAGATTACTGGAAGATGCCTGAAGCATCTATTAGCGTAGAACAGTGGTGGTGAACCTATGACACGCGTGTCAGCACTGACACGCATGGCTATTTTTGATGACACGCGGCCACATACAGAGAAGTACACCTTATAAGAGCCAATCTAATTCCATCCTTAAACTTGTAAAAGGCTCTACAAATTTAACATCTGCATGTTTGAGCATTGTTCACTCCATAACTCAGCATGGAATATACATTTTTCTTATTGAAACTATAAATATTGCAAAATTATGGGGTTTTTTTCTCGAAGTTGACACCCCACCCAAGTTATGCTCAGGTTTTTGGCTAATTTTGACACACCAAGCTCAAAAGGTTGCCCATCACTGGCGTAGAAAGTCACACAATACTCACTGGCCTAGTTTACACAAACATATCTTGCTGATAAGATATGAAGAAGCATTTTCACCATGCAGACAGCCTTTCAGAAGAAATAAAACTTGGCTCTTCTAACTGATCATGGTTTCCTGTTTTGTCCATATCAGGAAACCATGGCCACAAGTTTCAGAACACAGCAGGCTATTAAACTAACCTCAAACTATAGAAAAGAATAATCAAATCATAGAGTTGAAAGGCTTCACAAAAGCCATCCATTTCACCCTCTTCTGCCACGAAGAAGTATGCAATAAAAGCAGTCCTAACAGATGGCCATCCAGTTGCTGTTTAAAACCCGCCAAAGGAGGAGACTCTCCCATAAATTGAGGCCATATATCTCACTGTCGAACCCCTGGTGATGCAGTGGGTTAAACTGCTGAGCTGCTGAACTTGCTGACCAAAAGGTCAGCGGTTTGAATCCAGGAAGTGGGGTGAGCTCCTACTGTTAGCCCTAGCTTCTGCCAACCTAACAGTTCAAAAACATACAAATGTGAGTAGAGCAATAATTATCACTTCGGTGGGAAGATAACAGCACTCCATGCAATCATGCTGGCCATGTGACCTTGGAGATGTCTAGGGACAATGCTGGCTCTTCGGCTTAGAAATGGAGGTGAGCACAACCCCCCAGAATCGGACTTGACTAGACATAACGTCAAGGTGAAACCTTTACCTTAACCCACTGTTCAGATAGCTCTTGCCACCCTAAAGTTTTTTTTCCCTAATGTTTAGGTGGAATCTCCTTTTCCTGCATTTTGAAACCAATGTTTAATATGCGGGCTTCCTCTGGAAAAATCTCCCAGAGACAGAAAGGCCAAGCTTAAAGAGATGAGCAAGAAAATGGACAGTGAGTCAGCTGGGAAAGAGGACACATCAATGACAGTCAAAATCTATTTCTGACAGATCTTTGGTAAGGAGAGACTCACTGTTTGTTGCAATGTCAATCAGCAGCGTTTCTTCAGCCTCTGGAAGAGAAGGGAAAGGAACTGAGAGGTGCCTGGGATGTGAAAAAACTGCAACAGAAGCTGAGAAGCAGCACAAGAGGCGTAACTACCGAGGATCAGTTTGGAGAAATCTGACCCTTACTCCTCAGTTCTGGCTTCCAATAGTCATCTTCCTATCAACTGTTGCAGTTCTACTTTCAGTTCAGGGAAAAGCCATTTTAATAAAGGTGCAAGAAGCTCTAATATGATATAATAAAAAAACCTGTATTTATATCCCACCACCATCTCCTAAACAGGACTCATGGCGGCTTACAAAAGCACATGATAGTGCAGTAAAATACACAAGATACAATAAAATAAATAACAATGACAATTTGCATAAAACAATATACATAAAACAGAATATAAAACCCCTACTAAATTATCATATATACTTGAGTATAAGCCGATCCGAATATAAGCCGAGACACCTAATTTTACCACAAAAAACTGGGAAAACGCATTGACCCGAGTATAAGCTGAGGGTGGGAAATGCAGCAGCTACGGGTAAATTTCAAAATAAAAATAGATACCAGTAACATTGCATTAATTGAGGCATCGGTAAGTTAAATGTTTTTGAATAAAACTGTAAGTTAAGATAAGACTGTCCTCTCATTAAAGCATTATTCTAACCTTCTTCAGGTTAGAATAATGTTTACATATCCTTCCAATAATAATAATAATGGAAATGTAATAACAGTAATAATAGAATAAAATAATAAATGTAATAACAATAATAAAGAATAAAATAATAAATGTAATAATAATAGAGTAAAATAATAAAAAACCTTGACTCGAGTATAAGCTGAGAAAGACTTTTTCAGCTTAAAAAAAGGAGTGAAAAACTAGGCTTATACTCGAGTATATATAGTAAATAAAATACTCAATAAAATACAATCATGACTGGAGGTTTACAATATGCCGTATGAATATCAGTCATATAAACACCAGGAATGAGACAAAACAGTTGGCCCTCAAGTTTGCATATTTGAAGTTTCAATTTGATGCTCAGAATTTCTCACACTGTAGTGAACCAGAAGTTACATTTCATCTATTTGAACCTTCATTGTTGTTCAAGTTTCAATTGATTTATTTTAAAATACATATAAGAGTTATACATATAGATATGTACATACATGGGACACTTTGAACTTCTCTCAGTTTGGTCCTCAGGCTGGAAGATATTCTCTATACTTGACTTAAAATATGAAGGGACAACCATGGGCCTTAACATGCAAGTTGAGATTTGGCAGTAATCTGAGCACCAGCACAAACACAAAACAATCTATGTATAATGTCAAAATATAATGTCAAAAGAGCATATAGTATGCTATTTAACAAAATCCCGAGTACATAGCTCAATTCAGTGGCCCAAAACAAAATCAAAAGGAGCAACCGCTCTCAAATGTAACAGTTCCAGGTCTAAACAAGGGTACCACTGTATATAGGCTTCAGGGATACATACAATGAGACAAATCATACACAAAGTAAGCATAGAGTCATGAGGCTATATGTATACTGAAGTCAATAATGAAGATGGAGCACCACTCTCAAAAATCTTCATGGAATAAATCCAAATTAAGTCCAGTGAAAATGGAGCACTGCTTCTCAAAATAAGTCTCTGTAGGAAAAGTCCGAATGGCATTCAACAGGGGTGCCCGGGTATTTTTGTACCCTGTTTCGGGGAAAGCAGTCCCCTTCCTCAGGAGTTGATAAATTCAGCAACTCTAGACTCTTATCTATAACAAAACATAACATCACATAGAATAACAAGTATTTGAGAAGCAGTGCTCCATTTTCACTGGACTTAATTTGGATTTATTCCATGAAGATTTTTGAGAGTGGTGCTCCATCTTCATTATTGACTTCAATATACATATAGCCTCATGACTCTATGCTTACTTTGTGTATGATTTGTCTCATTGTATGTATCCCTGAAGCCTATATACAGTAGTACCCTGGAACTGTTACACTTGAGAGTGGTTGCTCCTTTTGATTTTGTTTTGGGCCACTGAATTGAGCTATGTACTCGGGATTTTGTTAAATAGCATACTATATGCTCTTTTGACATTATATTTTGACATTATACATAGATTGTTTTGTGTTTGTGCTGATACCCTACAAGTACTCTGGGATATTGAATAGTAATCTGAGCACCCCTGATAACTGATTATTCTAGACAGGGATGCTGGGAATGGTTATCCAAAACATAATAATAATAATACTTTATTTATACCCCACCACCATCTCCCCAAAGGGGACTCAGAGCGGCTTACATGAGGCCAAGCCCAGTGATACATTACAGCAACATAAAATATAAACAAAATAACATCACAATAAAATAAATAAACCAATCAAGTAAAATAAACAGTACAAAATAACATAATGGAAAATAAAACACAGTGGGCAGGCCAAAACATCTGAAAATGTGCCATGTTTGAGAATACTATCTTCTGTTAACTCATGGCAGCTTGTCAAAGTTTCAAAGAGGACCCTTTCCCTAAGACCTTGACATAACAGTGAATAAGTGGGACATTTTCCTCCTTCACTAGCATCTATTCCTTTCTCTGAGAAACTACTGCCCTGGAGTCTGCATTTTTATCTGAGTACCAGCCTGAAAACCTTGCTCAGAGTTTCCATTTGGGGAGATGACATTGGCCTTTCCCATCTTGCTGCCAGAAAACAATGAATGGCAACAAAATAAAAATGCAAAGAAAAACGGGTACCTTGCAAGCATTTGAAACGGCTGTTGATAGGAATGTTGTCTTGAACAGGGACTTCTTTCTCCCGGGAACGAATAATTAAACTGGAACGAAACGGAAAGGCATGTAAGTGCATTAATTACAGGATTGAGGGATTAAGGAGGTTGGGCAAAGGACAAAGAAAGACCTAATTCCGCTCCTCCAGGCAAAAATAATCCTGTTCTACAAATACTTGTTCATTTGCACATAAAATAGGGAGCATATTATCCTCAGCTTTCAGTCAAAACTTTTTATTTTCTTTTTTGCAAAATCTTTCAAGTTTAAGTCTTAAATACCGTATATTCCGGCATATAAGACGACTGGGCATATAAGACAACCCCCAACTTTTCCAGTTAAAATATAAAGTTTGGCATATACTCGCTGTATAAGACTACCCCCCTTCCAACACACACCAAATAAAATTTTTAAAAGCATCAGATTTGATTTCAATACAGTGATTTCCCCTTCACCTCACCATCGGGACCGCATTAAGTCCACGAATCATGATGAATGGATTTTCTTCTACCGTACTTGTACAGCGTCGCCCTTAATGCTTTCATACAGTCGCTGCAGGGGCGCGGCCACTGCCATTTTTTGAGCTCCCCCCACAATATGCAGCAACCACAGATTCTCCAATCTGGATTGGAAGTTTCAGCACCCGCTCTATAAGACGACCCCCACATATAAGACGACTCTCGTGCATAAGGCTACTCCAGCGTATAAGACGACCCCCCATGTATAAGACTACCCCCGCGTATAAGACAACCCCTGACTTTTGAGAAGATTTTCTTGGGTTAGAAAGTAGCCTTATACGCCAGAACATACGGTACTTTATTTCCCATCTAACCACTTGCAACCATCTAGTTTAAAACTATTGGGAAAATTGCTAATGTGGCACTGATTTCAGCTGCATTCTGAAACAGCATGTCTCCAAGTCATGCAGAAGTCGGGAGAGATAATAATAACAATAATGAAACTTTATTTATATTCTTCCCTATCTCTTTGGAGGGACTCAGGGAGGATTCCAAACATAAAAGGCAAACATTCAATGCCTGAACATAATAACAATACACCTCATAATAAGAAACATTGACAACCCAACATATAAAAGCAAATTATAACTGAACTAAAATTAAATGAAAAACACAACCTATAATGTATAATATTATATATTATCTATAATGTATAATATTATATATTATAGATGCTCCCTATTGCTTCAGAGGACAGGATTAATGAACGGAAATGAGAGTGAAGCTAGTCTCAAATAAACCCTTCAAACAGCAAAACCGTTCACCAGCATGTAGGGCACAACTAGAGCAGTAGTTTCCAAACTGTGTTCTGCGGAACCCTAGGATTCCACAAAATATTGTTTAAAAATCAGTCTGTGCCAGAGTTTGAAGATCTCATTAAAATTCATTGTACCTCTGCTTTAAAAATGAAATTTGAATTTGTGCCACTGAATGACTAAGAGACAAATAGCCCATCAGTAGCTGACAAGGCTATCCATATCCACTGATTGATGCGGACTGGGCTTTTTAGTTTATGCTTACCCAAAAAACAAATATAATAGTAAGCTGGATAATGGTTTCCCTTGATACTAAGTCTAGTCATGTCTGACTCTGGGGGGTAGTGCTCATCTCAATTTCTAAACCGAAGAGCCGGCATTGTCTGTAGATGCCTCCAAGGTCATGTGGCCAGCATGACTGCATGGAACGTCATTACCTTTCTGCTGAAGCGGTACCTATTTATCTACTTGCATTTGCATAGTTTCCAACAGCTAGGTTGGCAGAAGAATAAGCCGGATACCACCCTGGATTTATGCATTCGGCCGTCAGACATAAAGCCCAATTTGAAAACTATCCCATGTACAAAAATGAAACGATTTCGTTCATCACTTTAGGTGTAAATCCAATATTTTCTTGTGCCACGATAAATGCTTTTGGTTATATCCAATATTTTCTTGTACCAAAGTAAAAAAAAATGCTGTTATATTTAAAATGTAGTATTTTTTATTTCCAAACGGACAAAGTTAGAGTTCTGCATGAAAATAAAGTATTCTAAAAGGTTCCTTGAATGAAAAAGTTTGGGAACCACGGATCTAGATAGGAGAATTATAGCAACTTAACCATTTTAACTACAACAGTTCACTGCTATGGAATAACAGGAACTGTTAGCTTGTGGGGCCACAGTAGTGCAGTGGGTTAAACCGCCAGCTGTAGAAAATCTGCTGACCAGAAGGCTGGCAGTTTGAAGCTGCGAGTTGGGGCGAGCTTCCGCTGTTAGCCCTAGCTTCTGCCAACCTAGCAGTTCGAAAACCTGTAATGTGAGTAGATCAATAGGCAGGAAGGTAAAAAGTTGCCCCATGCAGACATGCCGGCAAAACACGACTGGAGATGGAACAACATCACCTCCAGGCACTAGAGATGAAAGGGGAAGGCCTTTACCTTGGTTTGTGCATTATGGGGCCAGAATAAAGAAGGGGAGCCGAGAGGACATTGCCATCTTGTCCCCTGTGACATCAGCGCCCCTCCCCCAACACCAACGGCCACTCTGGGGCCAGAATAAAGAAGGGGAGCCGGAAGGACATTGCCATCTTGTCCTCTGTGACATCAGCGCCCCTCCCCTAGCAATAATGCAATATTATGTAGTACTAGTGTTATGAATGATGTAATAGTACTATGCTAGTTATGTATTATGTAGTATGTTGTATGTACTTATGACTTGTAAGCCGCTCTGAGTCCCCTTCGGGGTGAGAAGGGCGGCATATAAATGTCGTAAATAAATAAATAAATAAATAAATTGTTCACTGGGCAAAAGGCATTTAATGTTTGCCTTATATCTGTATACTGTAATCTACTGAGTCCCTCCAGGGAGATAAAGCAGAATATAAATAAATAATATCATTATTATTCTCTGCCAAATAATGCTTATGCCTCAACAAACTATCACTCCCATATTTCCACAGCATTGAAACATGGCCCTAGTTTGAGCAAAACATAGCTTCCAAAGGATAACATGAGATCACAATTCAAGAAATGGGCGGAAGTAATGTAAACATCAAACACAAGGAAATGTCTTTGCGATGATATAATTGTATGTTGCCACCTCCAAAAGTGACACATAACAACAAATAATGTTTCAGCCAACTTCCTCCTGGAAGAAAGAGTATGTATATATGATAGTTGACTTTTGGTCAAGCAAGGGCCACACACTGGATATATAGGGAGCTGTCCAGGCCCTGTCCAGCATGCCATTATTTCAAACCTTCTCAGACCAAGCAAGAGGGAAAATAGAGAGCTGTGGGAAGACTAATTCTTCCCGCTCCAACAATATATGCAAGTGTGTGTGTGGTGACATTATCTGTTATAGAACTCCAGTATGCTGATGACAAAGTCATCTGTGTGCATTCAAAAGAAGACCTTCAAGCCACTCTAAACACATTTGTAGAAGCATACGAGAAGCTCGGCCTGTCATTAAACATCAAGAAAACCAAAGTGCTCTTCCAACAGTCACCAGCCAATCCCTCTCCAATGCCAAAAATACAGCTTAATGGTGTAACATTAGAAACGTTGACCATATCTGCTACCTTGGTAGCCAACTCTCCACAAAAGTCAACATTGACACTGAAATTCACCACCGCCTGAGCTCTGCAAGTGCAGCATTTTCTCGAATGAAGCAGAGAGTGTTTGAGGATCGGGACATCCATAGGGATGCCAAGGTGCTTGTTTATAAAGCTATTGTCTCCCAACCCTGCTATACGCCTGCGAGACGTGGACAGTCTACAGACATCACATGCAACTCCTGGAAAGATTCCATCAGCGCTGCCTCCGAAAAATCCTGCAAATCTCTTGGGAAGACAAGCGGACAAATGTCAGCGTGCTGGAAGAAGCAAAGACCACTAGCACTGAAGTGATGGTCCTCCGCCATCAACTCCACTGGACCGGCCATGTTGTCCGGATGCCCAACCACCGTCTCCCAAAGCAGTTGCTCTACTCTGAACTCAAGATTGGAAAATGGAATGTTGGAGGACAGGAAAAGAGATTTAAAGACAGGCTCAAAGCCAACCTTAAAAACTCTGCCATAGACACTGAGAACTGGGAAGCCCTGGCCCTTGTGCGCTCCAGTTGGAGGTCAGCTGTGACCAGCAGTGCTGCAGAATTTGAAGAGGCACGAATGGAGGGCGAAATGTGCCAAGAGGAAATGTACCAAGAGGTAGGTGCGTCAAGACAACCCCGATGGACCCACCTACGGACCCACCGCCAGGATATTACACTTGGAGAACCATCATCCTCGGACTACGAGGGATCAGCTAAGTAAGTAAGTAAGTAAGTAAGGTGACATTATGTTTCACACTCAAATGGCAACTACTCACTTGTATTCAGAACCAAGCCGTGCCAGACTCAGCTCGCATGGCACTCGCCGGCCAGCAGTCACTTCCAGACCCTGAACAACAGCTAAGGAAAAGGAGAGGAGGGAAAAAAAACAGCTCCAAGCCCACTCCTCCCAAAACATACACACATTTTCCTAGCATTGTTGGAAATTCAGTTCAGAATGACACGGCTCTCTCTGCGGCTGCAAAGTTTCAACTAGGCTTTCCTCCTGTATCAATAACTGCCCCCACCCCCCCACCCCCAATTTAGGAAAGAGCAAAGATTACAGCTTTGCTCTGAACTGGTTGGAAAGCAAATCCTTCCCATACTCCAGATCCACCAGAGGTAGCAAGCTTGACCTGCTCTGCAGCTGAATATGTAAAAAGGCTCCTCATTATCATGATGGGAATAGCAAATTGCCCAGCCAAACACCATCAGGATTTCCATAAAACAGGTTACAGACAAAGCCAAGGAAAATACTCCCACATGCTAATCTGATCAAGCCTGCTTTTGAGCATTTAACTAAGATCTGATATACAGAATCAACATTAGCACAAGAACTGCATTTTCTGGATCAGGACAGTGGTCCCCTTTTTCTTGCTCACAAAGGCAACAACGTTCCTCTGTTTGGTAGTTAAAGTACAATCATAGAAGCCTAGATTTGGAAGAGACCACATGGATCATCCAGTCCAAACCCCTGTCATGCAGGAAAAGCACAATGAAAGCACCCCAACAGATGGCCATTCAGTTTCTGCCTAAAAGCCTCCAAAGGATTTATCTGAGGCCCCTTCCACACAACTGTATAACATTCACATTGAACTGGATGACATGGCAGTGTGGACTCAGATAATCCAGTTCAAAGCAGATATTATAGGTGATCTGAATTAATATTCTGGGTTATATGGATGTGTGGAAGGGCCCTGAGTCCACACTGCCATATATTCCAGTTCAATGTGGATTTTATACAGCTCTGTGGAAGGGGCCTTAGTAAATGTGCCCAAGGTTGCATAGCAAGCCAGCAAAGTTGTGATGTTTTTCCCCACCAAGAAATAAAAAGCATAAAAGTAAGCTAAACAAGAATGAAATGATAAAATAAATTACTGCTAATGTAATAAAAAATATAACAGAATGGATAATAATAATAATAATAATAATAATAATAATAATAAATAGATTAATACACGGCATAATAAAATAAGTACTGGAAACAATAAAGTAATAAAAGGCATAATAAAATGAATACTATCAAATTGACAAAAAGCATAATAAAAATAATAGTAAAATAATAAAAAGAATAATAAAAATAAATAATACCAAAGTAACAAAAGCATAATAAAATAAATAATAATAAAATTATAAAAGGCATAAAATAATAATAATAAAGTATTCTCCCCTTTCCAAGTAC